GCTTGCGCTAAACCCTTTCATGAACTTCCTCGGGGGGAGGAGACAGGCTACGTAATGGACAGTTGTTTATCATATCCACATGCCTTGATGGAGAAGGTCCTTCCGTTTAGGAGAAATGCCCTTAAAATTAATGAATACCTTGTGAGACAACTGTTCTTTACATGCGTGTTCAAGCGCTTTCTAACAGGATGGGCTTTTGTTTATAGAGGTGGATGAGCTTTATTACATGGCATTAAGCATTTCCTTGATGATCAAAGAACACGGTATCTCAAAGGACACCGTGATGTGTACCAGAGGGAGAGGGTTGGAGACGGGCAAAATGAATGAAGGGGGTGAAAAGGGACAAACGTATAAAACAAGTAAGCCATGGGGACGTCGTGTCCAGTGTGGTGACTGTAGTCAGGAATACTGTCGTGCATATTTGGTTGTTCTGAAGAGAGTAAATCTTAGAAGTTCTCATCACCACAACTAAACTGTATAACTTTGGTGACAGCTGGTAACTAGACTTACTGTGGTGATTATCTCCCCACGGATAAAAATGTCCAGTCATTATGTGGCGTTGTCCCCCTGCATGCTGTGGCATATATGTGATACCGCAGCTTAGAAAGAGAAAAAGAACATGTGTCTGTGCAGACATGGACACATGAAAAATTGCAACGGTAACAGTCTCCAGAGGACCCATTGAAGTAAGAAGGGTCTACCTTTTATGTCATTGAAATATTTTTTTTAAATATATTTTATTAATTTTTTACAGAGAGGAAGAGACAGGAATAGAGAGTTAGAAACATCGATGAGAAAGAATCATCGATCAGCTGCCTCTTGCACATCCCCTACTGAGGATGTGCCTGCAACCAAGGTACATGCCCTTGACCAGAATCGAACCCAGGACCCTTCAGTTCGCAGGCTGACGCTCTATCCACTGAGCCAAACCGGTTTCGGCTGTCATTGAAATCTTAAAAACTAGTATGGCTTGAACTTCAATTGAAAAAAAAAAATTAAAAAAAGAAAAAAACTTGCGTGGGCAGACAGTTATTTTTATCATCTGGCATAATTTTTAACTAAAGAAACAAAACAATCAATAGTGTTATAAAAACTCTTGTACTCTGAGCTTGAAACAACTGCTTTATGCTACAAAATCCCTGTTGCTTCCTCCATTAGTGACTGAGTAATTCAATATGTCTTGAATGTCAACGTATTTTTATTACTCAGCTGAAGTTGGCTTTGCTGGATTAAATGCCATTTAAAATGATTAAACAGTGGCTTGTTTGGGATTATTTTCACATCTATGAGAGGGAAAGGCTTGCAAGGTACACGTGGTTTTGAACCTTACAGGTGACGTCTGGGCTCTGGTAAGCCCACCCTTCATTTTTACCAACCGAAGGGCAGATAACCCTCCAGATCTCTTCTTAGCAAATGGTTTGCATAAAGGTCACAGTTAGATGAAAAGCCAGCGTGGTGCCCAGGCCTGGGTAAGCCGGACTTGGAGAAGTGGTCTGGTTCACATTGACTGCTTTGTGAGGAAAAGGGGGTGCCAGGATAGTAAACAAGAAGCAGCAGAAACCGCACACATGAACATCGTTATGCGGATGGGGCTGAGAGGAGGACCAGGCACATGAGGTCGTAGCTCCAGGAAGCCTGCGGCTAGGGGCTGCTGATGTGCTGCTCGCCTTCAGAAGGGCAAATGTCCTTCATGTCCAGCTGCATAAGACAACCAGAGAGTTTTTATTAGTACTAGAGCCTGATGCACGAAATTCGTGCAAGAGTAGGCCTTCAAACCACGGGCTGCCTCTGCCCTTGCAGCCCTGGCTTTGTCCAGAAGGTTGTCCAGATGCTTGTTCTGTTGTTCGGCTGTTCGGTTGATTTACATATTATGCTTTTATTATTATAGGTTTTCATATGAATTTCCCATAGAGTATCATATGAACACTCTAGAGAATCACATGCCAAATTCAGATGAATCCGAAAATGTCATCAAGCCTCTTTGTAGTAAAAATGATTGTAACTCTGTAAGCAAAGTTATACACAACACCTCCCTCTCCCCCCTCCCCCCCACACACTACCTTGTCCCTCCTATTTACCTGCATTTTATGTGATAATATTTGCTTTTGTCAGATGTTTTCCAGTTGGAAGAGATGGTGGGAAACTAAAATTTATCTGCCATTGGATGGCAGGACAACTGGACCATTAAACCCAGCTCAGTTCTGTTTCCTGTTTGCAGTAAAATTGTTGTGAGACAGGGAGGTGGCAGGGGAGGGGCAGCTTTGCAAAGAAACTAGAGTAGTCGTGTTACTACGGCTAGATTATTCTCAGTCTGCAGTGGCGTGACACTGGCTTCTCTAGGCAGTTACGACACTAGAATCCGTCCCCCGGTCCTGTCCCCCCACCTCAGCCCGCCCTCTGGCAGTAAGAGTGCAGTATGGAAGGGTGGAGTTTGAAGAGGCTGGCCGGCGTGGTTAGAATGGGGTTCAATCTCCAGAAGCCTGGTGTCATTGGCTTAAGAACACTATTTATCCTTTCCCAAAACACAATGAAACATGTCACATTAACTTTTACATGCAGGTAATTGGGAGGAAAAGAATATAGTAAGAGACACTAAAGATTTATGGTTTTGTTTTGTTTTTTGTTTTTAAATGCCAGTTTGTTTGTTTTTTATTGTAGAGAGGGAGAGAGAGAGAGAGAGAGAAACACACCGATATAAGAGAGATATAAGAGAAACATCAATCGGTTGCCTCCACTGGTGTATGGTACACCAGACACTCCAGCCAACTGAGCCACACCCGCCAGGGCAAGATTTATGGTCATTTTACGTTTCATGGTAATTCCTAGAAAAATCAAGCCAGAAAATGCCATATTTTATGCCAGGTCCTTCTGTTCAGAGGAAATGTTGGATTTCATAAAAGGTGCACTAAACAGAGTTAAACCTTGCTCTGTGAAGTCCTAAATGTTAACCAACATACACCCGTTCACCAGCTCCTCTGAGGATAGAAGTCACATTGGGCAGGTGGCACGGCACAGGCCTCCAAGTCTGGTAGAACCTAGAATCCTGTCCCTCCGGACTGCACCCCAGCTTCCTTGTCCATAAATACCTCATCCTGCTCACAGAGTGCACAGCACAGCGCCTGCTAACAGCGTCAGAAATCAGCGCGGTTCCTTTCATTACTTTCTCTTCACTCACATTATCACGCATCCGATAATCCCGTAAAGCAGCGATTTCAACCGGTGTGTCACGAGAATGTTTAAAGCAGGCAATGCCTACCTGACCACTTAGTCGGGGCACCGACCTCTTTCCCTTAGAGTGTCAAATTAAAAAATGACAACAGCCAACACAACAATAGCCATCTAGTGTGAATGAATCACAACCATACCTAGTTTTTTGTCAGATCTTCAAAAAATGCATTTTTTTTTTTTGGTAGGAACTTCAGTAATGGGGTATGCTGTGCCCCTGGATGAAAAAGGTGGAAAATGACTGCTGTAAAGTAAGGGCTGTTAGCCCTGTTTCATAAATGAGGCAGCCAAACCTCGGGGAGTTCCAAAAACTCACCCAAAGGGACCTGACTCAATCCTCTTGTAGGAACCCTCCAGAGAAGGGTGTGCTGATTTCTCTGGGAGGTGACGTGCTGGCTCTAAGCTGCTCCAGGTCTAACCCAGACACTGCCTGCAGGTCTCCCAGGCCTCGCCCAGCAGGAGGGAGTCAGCACTTTGTAGTGCTTGGGCCTCAGGTTTCAAGTCCCTGGACCTTGGGGAGAGGGTTAGAACTAACGTGTAAAGAGAGCCGAGGACATACTCGGCATCCTGCGGCTCGTCATTGATCACCGTCATGCTGGCGTTGGTCACCACCGTCATGCTGATGAGTGCCTAGCACAGCTCCCCCGAGGACATACTCGGCATCCTGCGGCTCGTCATTGATCACCGTCATGCTGGCGTTGGTCACCACCGTCATGCTGATGAGTGCCTAGCACAGCTCCCCCCGGTCCACAGTGAGCCCCTGGAAGTTGGGTCTCTTATTCTCATCTGGAGGCCAGTCCAACATGAACTAGACCTAGACAGTACTTGTCGGTGCCAATCCCCACCACCACCCACCCACCTGTCAAGGCTCTGCTGGAGGGCAAACCACATCCCATGATGGCACAAACCCAGAAAGCAGTAGAACAAAGGAAAGGCGTGCTGTATGCGTCCTCTCTTTGAATGTGCCAACCCCCAGCCAGAAGCCTAGCTCAGAGCCCGGCCTGCACGAATTCACTTAATAAATCTTGGTTGCCCAGCCCAGTGATGGAGCACCCGCTGTAAAGGATTTTTTTACTGGGGTTCTTTCTATCCTATTCCCCTTATACTAAAGCAATTTTAAATACCTCCAAAGTGAGCTATAGTGAGAATATCTGTGTCCTTAAAAAAAAAAAAAAAAAAGGCATGCTGGTCACAGTTCCCACTCCCACAGTCCCTGAGTCCCATGGTGTTTGTGCTTCCCCACAGCCTTTCACACAGCACGCTTCTTTTTCTGCCATTTTTTAGACGACCCCACTCTTCTCGTCTCTATCCATTCAGTGTCATCCTCTTACACCCAACTCATCTCAGCACCGCCACTGATGCCACCCACTCTCTCGGGAACATCGGGACTCGCATCTTGCCTGCCCGCTTTTCAGCGCACTTCCAGGGCCAATGCATTTGCAGTTCGAGCTGGTTCTCTCTCTCTCCTGCGGGCTCTGCTCAAATTCAGGTCATGGGTCATGGCGGTGGACAAGTGGCTTCCTCTCTCCCGGTCACTGTGTCCCCTCTTGGAAGGAGGCAGTTGGAGTGGATGGTCTCAGGCCACACATGACAGAGGGCACCCTCCCCAACACCATCCCCATGTCCCTCGGGGCGCAGGTCTCCCTGACATATGGGAGGTTAGGCCGTCCATCCAACGTAGGCCGAAGTAGTTTCCTCAACTATGTTCTGATTCTCCTTCTTGGTCTCGACAAGACACATTTTCAACAGCGTTTTCTTGCCCTTTTCCTCGGCAGACTGTAGACTGCTTTGGGATTACGTCTATCAGTTGCTTTCTGACACCCGGTACGAAAACTTCATCCGATGGGAGGACAAAGAATCCAAAATATTCCGGATAGTGGATCCCAACGGCCTGGCTCGACTGTGGGGAAACCATAAGGTAAAAAGGGCACCAGATCTCTGCTCTGGGAGCTGGCGCCAAAACAAGGCCGCTCTCCTGGGGCCCGGGGATAATTGTCTGTCTTCTGCTTCCTAAGGCTGCCCGTAATTGCTTCGCTTCTTCCTCGCTGGGCAAACAATCAGACCGTCGCAAAGGGAAGGAGATCATTAAAGATGCCCCTTTCCGCTGTTGCGCAGGCCAGGTGCCAGTGAGCTCAGCATATCCTGGCCTCGGGGCCGCGGGCTTCCTGCCCCCTTGACCTGGCCCCGTTACCTGTGTCATTAAGAACAGGTAACGGGGAAGCGTGTGGGGCTCTGACGCACGAGGGAGCCTCCTGAAGCACAGCTTCTGTTCCGCTCAGTCAGAAACTCCCCTGTTCCCGAAAGCCCCTTTCCCACGAAAAACACTGGCATTCCGACTCTAAAGCATCCCCCTTTCAAAGCAAACAGGGCAAGAAGCAGGAATGCCCCTCAAGTTCCCACACTAGGAAGAGGGATAGAATCTAAAAAAATAAAGCCTTTTAGAGTTAGGAGAACTGTTCAAGTGCATAGATATAACAAGCAGGTAAAACTACCCAGATGTACATCCGTGAATTTGTGGATGAAGGAACTGGGGTCTGTGCATGCAGGAGAGTATCATTCCGCCTTAAAAAAAAAAAGAGGGACATTTTTCCGTATGCGGCCACACGGACAGACCTTGAGGACATTATGCTAAGTGTAATAAGTCAGAGGAAGGCAAATACTGCCTGATTCCACTTCTATGGCATGCCTAAAATAAGCAGTTCATTGGATCAAAGAATGGAATGGTGTGGCCAGGGGTTGGGGGAGGGGGAAATGAGGAGTCACTAGTCAATGGACATGAAGTTTCCTTTAAGTAAAATAAGCAAGTTCCAGGCACCTGCTGTACAACGTGTTAACAGCAGTGAATTAGGCACTAAAAATTTGTTAAAAGGGTAGATCTCATGTTAAGTGTTCTTACCACAACAAAATAAAGTAAATAGAGCAAAGAGCACACCTCCCCTAAGCCCCCCCCCCAAAAAAAAACCAACAACAAAAACCTAAATAAGTAAATCTGTATTCCTACTTAAAAAAAATAAAAAATCCAGTAACCAAGACCCAGGTCTGACCACAGACAAGTAGGTAGCAGAGTGGCCCAGTGCCAGCTCAGCCAAGTGAGAGGGGACCGGGGGCCCAGCCGAGCGAGCTCTGCCCCAGCTCAGCCTTGGAGGACCTGTGCCGGCCATGACCGCACAGGCAGGGCCCACTGCCAGACTCTTCCATGCACCAAGTTGCTGGGAAAAATCCCTCTGCACCTCCTCCCACATGGTGCCCTAGTCCCAGCGCTCAGAACCTCTGTGTTCTTGCTTCCACAACAGGAATTTTAAGCAACAAAAGACCCCTTCCTTAAGGTGTCAAGCCAGAAACACAGTTTGAGAAAGGTCACTGCAACAACAACAAAAAAGAAAACAGCACTTCTTTCTGGGTCAGAAGGTGAAGGATGGCCCCCAGATAGCGGGGACCTGCAGGAAATTCCCGGGGCACAGCAGAGCGCAGGCTTGGGAAAGGAAGTGAGGGAGGCTGCTGAGGGACATGCCGCAGGAGCCAGCGCTCCCGCCCCCTCCGGGACTCTGACAAAGGCTGATTCACAGGGAGAAGTCTTGGTAAAAGCCCAGGGTGGGAACCAGTGGGCTCTGGTGAGCAGGTAGCTTCCCCAGCTCCAGGGCCACGGGCGCCGCTGAAGAACTTTTAACAGCTCCCCCAGCGCCTCTTCTGAGGTTCATTTCATTGTGTCTTTGTGGTTTTTTTTTTTCCTCTCTCTCTTCCTCCTTTGAACAAACAGAACAGAACAAACATGACCTATGAGAAAATGTCCAGAGCCCTGCGCCACTACTACAAACTAAACATCATCAGGAAGGAGCCCGGACAAAGGCTTTTGTTCAGGTAGCACTTCCTTTTTCTCCTTTCCTTCTTTGGGGATGATATTGCTTTCTTTAAATAAGAGGGAGGAGGGAGCCTGTTAAGATCTCTACCTGCCTATCCGATACTCAAAGCCACCGGGGCAATGCATCAGAAACCAGGTGCTGGTTTGTTAGGATTTAAGAAAAAAATCGGGTGGGGTTTTTTTAGTTTATTTTTTAATTTCTGTCTGTCCTATAGTTAAACCAAGACTAAGTAAACACAGTCTGACTCCCCTGTAAAGACTTCATTCAGGGCATGGCCCCTGTAAAACAATGCAATGATCAAATAGTATCACCTGCCACTGGCATCCGGTGTAGGGAAGGGAGCAGCCAGAGGGGCACTGTCAGGGGCAACGCCAGGGACTGAGCCTGGACTTCCAGGCCCCAACTCTGTATGCTGGTTCCTGAGTCAGTTTGTCACACTGCAGTCGGGACCTGTGAGTTGGTCGGGAAATAGATATAATCAGTCCATCATAACTATTTGTGTGTTTGTTTTTATGAAATAGAACAGAATTGATTAGTGTAGGATAGAGTTGAAAATATCAGAATGTGTCCCATGAAATTCAGAGGGACCACTCCTTTATGAAAATTTTGTCTCAGGTGTGTGTGTGTGTGTGTGTGTGTGTGTGTGTGTGATACAATCTATTTGTTATAATGCACTGTAACAGAAGTCTGAAAGCCATTGCTCTAGACATTCCTCTTCCCAGAATTCCTCCCACTGAGTTCCACCATGGGATCTTCTACGTAGATTGTGATTCCGATGCCATGTAAGAAAAGAGAGGAGTTAGCAGAGGAAGAAGGGACCTAAGGGACCAGTAAGGAGAAGGAGAACGCTGGTGGTCATGGTGGTGATTGCCATGTGAGACCAGGGAAAGTCAGGAGAGAGTGGAGTCAGCAAGCAGCCTGCAGCCATGCGTGTTGGCAGGTGGGACAGAAAAGGCTTCGAGGTGGGACTTGAGGCATAGGTGGGAGTTGTTTACATGCAGGTGGAAAATGACTTGTCTGTGTGAGGGTGAGCTCGCTGGAAAGAGCTGAAAACCTGGGCGTTAGTATTGGGAAGGAGCAGTAAAAACAGTTGAGATTTTAAAAACAATGGAAAAGGTCGCTCAGGGGACGGACCCCGAAGGAAATGGAGTAAAAAAGAGCCCCCCTCTTGCTGGCTGTGCTGACGCTTCCCTCCATTCCTTCCACACTTGGTCCGTGGCTATATCCTCCCACTCGGCCTGTTTTCCTGAATGAGTTGATCCCGTTACATAGCTTGAATCATCACCTCAATGGTTGGACTCTTAAATCTTTGTACCTAGCTTTATTTTTATTTATTTATTTATTTATTTATTTATTTATTTATTTATTTATTTTATTGATTTTGTACAGAGAGGAAGGGAGAGAGAGAGTTAGAAACATCGATGAGAGAGAGTCATTGATCAGCTGCCTCTTGCACACCCCCTACTGGGGATATGCCCGCAACCAAGGTACGTGCCCTTGACTGGAATCGAACCCAGGACCCTTCAGTCCCCAAGCTGATGCTCTATCCATTGAGCCAAACCGGTTTCGGCTGTACCTAGCTTTAAAATCTCCCTGAAGTTTCAAATCTTTGTTTCCAAAGGCTTCTTCTAGGGCGTGTCCATTTAAATTTAACATGTCTTGGACATGCAACATTTAAGACAGACCTTCATATGCTAGCAATCTCCCCGTCCCCCCTTACTTCTCGTCTCTGGCATGACGGTTGAGTGAAGCAGCCGGCCTTGATACCACCATTACCCGGGATTCTCCTGTGCCCAAGCCCGTGGTGGTGCTGAATGTCCCCTGGCTCCTTTCTGTGCTGCAGGCACCGCATGTCCCAAGATTTCTTATGAGCAGGTTCCAGGTTGGAGTCTATCCAATGACAGGCACTTTCTTGAAATGTGGAAGATTCGAGAAAGGCAACAGCCTCATTGTTGCTTCCTGAGCAATGGAGACTGGTATCTAGACTTCAGATTCACTCCCAGAATAATTCAACATTCTATCTCCACTTCTCCTGCCTCCCAAACTCATTATATACACTGCCAACCCCCCTGCAACACAGATGCAGTTCCCTGTGTCAGAAACATGTACCCCTTTGAGTTTTTGCTTTTTAACATGTATACCCTCCAGCTGGCTGCCTTTGCAAGGCTTTCTTCAACTGCTCAGACACTCAGATATCTTATTCTGTCATTTCTTGGCCCTAAACCACTTTGTGATCTGCATTGTTGTTGTTAATCCTCATCCAAGGATATTTTTCCATTGATTTTTGGAGAAAGTAGAAGGAAGAGGGAGAGGGAGAGAAACATCCATGTGAGAGAGACACATCGGTTGGTTGCACCCACCCCCACCACCCCACCCCCGACCAGGGCCAGGGAACCTGCAACCAAGGTACATGCCCTAGACCAGAATCAAAACCTTCAGTGTGTGGGCCAGTACTCTATCCATTGAGCCAAACCAGCTAGAGCATGATCTGCATTTGTCATAGGGAAGTCCTTCTCCCCACAGTGAGGTCACAGGCTCCTAGGAGGTCGAGGATTACATTTGGTATAATTTCAGTAAGCATTTCGTGACAAGGCGGCAAGCCTAGCTTGGAATATCAGAAACTTAATATGGAAAAGCAGTCAAAAGAAAAAAGGGTCGTTTGAAGGGCCACACATAGCGTTTTGGTGGGCATGGCCTGGAGGGCATCGTTAGTGACGTCAGGTGTTGAGGGGGAAGCCTTAGCGAGGGGAGGAAAGGTAGAAGACAGCCTGCAGACCAGATGCTACAAATCATACTGCCTCTGTAATATGGCAGAAAAGAAAAGCAGCGGTAGCTGGAAGGTTCCTAGGTTTCCAGTAGTGATTTTCAACAACGTGAAAAGCGAAGATTCATGCTATTAGCAGGCAGGTTATCATTTTTGAGAAAATGAGTGCTGCAAGCCAGACTGACCACAAAAACAAAGGCTTCTTGGTATGAAATCCAGGGTATAATCAGGTGACGTATTACATTGTGGGTACTCCGTACAAGATGTATGGGAGCGGAGGGAGGAAGGCTTTGACGTAGATGGGTCCCATTAGCGCCAAAGCCTTCCTCCCTCCTCTCTGGTACATCTTGTACCAGGCGGAGCTCAGAGAATGAGAAGGGTCAGACAATGAAACGGATAGAGAGGGTTCCAAATAGAGGCCCGAGCTGGAGGTTGGGAATCTGGCATGAGCCATCCTATCTAGTAAAGAAGGAATATGCAAATTGACTGTAACTCCACAACGAAGATGGCAGCACCCACAGCCAATAAGGAGGGGATATGCAAATTGATGCAACAGGCAAGAGGTTGAAATGGCTCTGACCAAGACAAAGGCAGAAAGGTGGCTATAGGCCAGAACAAAGGTGGTGCTGGCAGCCAGGGGAAGGAAGGCCTATTCTTGCATGAATCTTTGTGCATGGGGCCTCTGGTGACTATATAAGGAAGAAGATTGCCCAGGCAAGGATGGAGGATTTACAGTGGAAATCAAGAGTTTCCTGGGTGTGATGACAAAAGGGCCCCAGTGGGCAGGTGTGGAGACTGAGTTCTTGACTTGATAAGTGGCTATCGTAGGCTTTGGACATGGAGGAATGAGAGAAAACGTGTGTGTGAAGACAGTTCATCTGGCGCAGGGCAGAGTAGATGGGAGGGGAAAGGCGTGCCAGCACACAGTGGGGCTGAGGAAAGGGCACTCCCACAGTAGGGCAAGAGCGTTTGCATCTAGGTTGCCTTCCAGAACCATGAAATCTTGGCCAAAACATCACCGAAGTTTTTTTCTGAGGAAACCCAGTGAACAGGATGAGGCTTGCAGTGTGCGCCTGGCTGCTAAGGAAGATAGACTAAAGAGGACTTGGTGCTAACGTTTTGGATGTGTTTGTGTTAACATTGAAAAAGATTTTCTTTTTGCCTTTCTGAGTTTCCAAAGCACCACCCCTAGCTGGCCCCATTATCAGAGTTTTCCATTCAGCATTTGATTGTATCCTTTGCATTAAAATCAAGTTTCCAGTACCGCTCCCTGGACTCACCGTTCAGGATGGAAGGGGATCTACAGCTCTCATGGGTCCTTGTAAAATGTAACCCTCTAAAAATAAGACTCACAGATGAGTGAGCTGCACCAGGGTTCCCTCACAAGGTCACGTGGGAGGCACTGCACAGCCCCAGTGGGCGCGCTCTGCCTGCCATCATCCTAGCCTCTTTTTATAGTTATTTCACCGTGTTTCAGGCAGTCAGGGCCAGGGGCGTCTTTTTCTAATGGACACTGAGTCACCTTGAACAGCTGGCTTCAGCAGCTCTCCCGCTCTGTGAGATGACAGGGCCCTTCTCTTGTTTCAAGTTCAGGGTGAAGACAACCTTAGCAAAATGTAATCTCTTCACGCCTCCATTTCCTCCCCCTAAGGTTCATGAAAACCCCGGATGAAATCATGAGTGGCCGGACAGACCGTCTGGAGCACCTCGAGTCCCAGGAGCTGGATGAACAAATATACCAAGAAGATGAATGCTGAAGGCACCAATCCCGTCTCGGCGGCCACAGCCCAGGGCGCTGCTGCCCCAGGACTGCTGGAGGCGGAGCAGGGGGCTGCAGAGAGGAGGAGAGGACGAGGCCCCGCGACGGGAGTGACATGTCTCTTGCCTACCAGGAGGGACCCAGAGCACCTTAGACAAACTACCCAGCACAGGCAGGGCTGGGATTCTGGCCGGCGGCACAAGCCCAGGACCCACGTTCACGTCCCCCTTTCCCCCCCTCGTTCGGAATCTGTCCATCTGTAATTCCTCACCCTCGCCCTCCCACCTGTTGTCAGTTTCACGGTATTTTTGTTTTTTATTTTTTTATGACCATGCAGTTTTGACTTTCATCAGTCATCTAGGGGAAGACATGAGCTTGTTTTCCTATGGAAATATTATATCTATTATATATATATCTATATATATATATATATATTTTTTTTCAATTCTCACAAAGTGTGGCAAACCCAGCTCGTCAGGAAAGAGAAAACTTGCAAAAGGGTCCAGCTCCTCTTTCCCCCGCCCCGTGGACCAGGTCTGTTCCTGTTGCTGTTGGATCTTGGGGGGACTGGAGGGGAAATGGGCTGGGGGGGAAGGATGCTTTTAGAAAAGATAAAGTGAAGAAGGAGAGGTCTCTTTTTCTCTCTCCTTCCCTGCCTTCTCCCCACCCTCCCCCTCCTGCCCCCTTGGAGTCCAGCCTCTTGGAGAATCTGGGTAGCAATTGGCACCTACACAGAATTGGTGGCCTGAGTGCTTTTGGGGCCGACACCGCTAAATCAGACCCTTGTCCCTGCACTTGGCCATCGTCTGCCCAGGGGAGCCTCAAAGAGGCGGCTGTGCTCCAGGGAAACGCGTGTCCATCTCGCAGACACAGCGTGAGCGCCATGCAGCTCAGGGATCTACAGCCTCGGCTCACAGTGGGCGGCCTCGGGTCATTTGGAAGCCCCAGCGCCTGGGATCACAGTGGAAAGCCCACAAAGACCACACAGGCCTGAGGGTCCAGAAACAGAGTGAAAACTCTGAGGTGGGACCCGTTATCCCCAGCAGGCTACCGAGGCCAGAGAAGCAGGAAGTGCCCCATCACGTGGTCAGTTCCATGCCTTCACTGAACTTTTTTTTTTTTTTTTTTTTTTTTTTTTAAGCCTCCCGGTCCCCGTGGGCACAGGGCATTGGAGAGGGGAGCACCCTGAAGTGTGCAGACAGCAGATCCCTCAGATACATGACAGTTTCCTTCTGTCCTTCTTACATAGTTGTGCTGCAGACTGGGCCCATCCGTGGCTCGTTTTCCCCTCAAAATAAGACCGGTTGTATCTTGGAAAGTGAGGATAGCGCCACCCCTTAGTACTTTCGATGATAACATTTTTAGAGAGCTGTTTAGATTTGCTTTCCTTTCCTAGCCGTCTAAGTTCACTCTTCCAATACAGGTTCAGAATCCAATGTGAGGAGTACAGTGTGTTTTAATTCGAAAGATTGGACCTGCCTTACAGAGCACCCCCTCCTCGTCGCCCTCAGCACCCCTAGGGCACGTAGGGGATGGTCAGCAGCGGGTCGCCTCTCCTCCAGCCATTAGACACCATCCTTCCCCAGCCTACCGACCACGACACCAGCAGGGGTGAGGGGCACAACAGATGGACTATGATTTCAGGACTGTGGACTTGAGGAGCTGATCAGGGCTCTTCTTCCTTGCTCAGTTCCTGCCTCGTGTCAGACGGAGGTGGCACTGCCAGCTCCCACATCACACACTCTCTCCCCCCTTCCCCCCTAACTTCCAGAATATCGGGCTTGTGATGAGGTCAGAGACCATCTGTGGGAGGCTAGCGGCTCCCTACGAGGAGGGTCTGGTCTGAATCGGCGTGGATGGTGCAGTGCAGCTGGGTCCCAGCAGGCCACAGATGTCTCTCAGGAGTGTGCGGCCGCACACCAACCTCTGAGATGACTGATGTATCTGCGAGGGGGAGATGAAGCCAAATACTGGGCGTGCTGTGAAAGCCACTGCGTTTAGGGCAGGAGAGACAGGTTGGATTTTCGCTGGGGCCCTTGGTGTGGTTATAAAATCAGACCGAGGGCGTGGTGCTCTCTTCTTAAGATGAGGACACATCATTCCATCTCCCTGGCCCCAAGTAGTGCGACTCGGGCTATTTTCCGGTCCGAGAATCTTATGGTTGAATTATGGAGGAAAATTTCCTTTGGCCCCAAGGATTTCTCTGTATTTAAAGCAATATTCTCTATGAAAATGTAAGTCAGGATGACACCTTCAGCCACTTAAAGAGAACATAGAAGGTGCTAATTCCAGTAGAGTCTTGATTTCCCACCCAGGTATTTGTGACCAATCATGATTTCCTATTGATTTCTCTTAACATCAAAGACCTTCCCATTTGTTCTCTGAGAGAACACCTGGGCGGTGCTGACACCAGGGGTACAGTGCTCACACACTGCAGACCTCACAGGTTTCAGATGGAATTTAGCCAGCCTTCGTGAAGCATCTGTCAGACCCATGAGGGACTCAACAGTGAATCGGGCACGATTCTGTCCTCCGAGAGCCTGCTTTCTCCTTACAGAATCCATCCAGCACAACATGTCTCACTTCAACACTACATACCAAGGGAGGTAAACATCTCACCTGGGACCACGTTAAAAGCACATCCGTGACCTAAACAGTTGGCCTTTCCCTGCAGCCATCGTGGGCATTCTTGGCTTGCAAGTTAAGAACTGGGGAAAGGAAAATGCAGAGGAAGATCGCCTAGCCCTGTGGTCTGCAAACTACAGCTCACAAGCCACATGCCGCTCTTTGGCCCCTTGAGTGTGGCTCTTCCACAAAATACCATGGCCAGGAAGAGTCTATTTGAAGAAGTGACATTAGAAGAAGTTTAAGTTTAAAAACGTTGGCTCTCAAAAGAAATTTCAATCATTGTACTGCTGATATTTGGCTCTGTTGACTAACGAGTTTGCCGACCACTGGCTTAAGGGGAGGAGAGCTTTCTCTAGCTTTGTCCGGAATAGGCACGCTCACTTGTATATTGAAATTCTCGAGCATCTCCTCCCTGTGCTTTGAGATAGCCAGGTTGCCTCCTCTCCATCCGAAGATAGCAGTGGCCAGGGGAGGGACTGGCTGTGTGGAAGTAGCCTGATCTCTAAGATCTTTTTGTTCCCAAGGCAACTTGGTCTGGCCTAAGGCATCATCACCGGATGGTCCAGATCGTGGGGTGAGGGAGATCTCACAGGAAAAGAGGAATAACAAACGTAGGATGTGCTTCTTTCAGCAGTATCTCTGGAACCTCTGATCCATCGCCTCCTGACACTGAGGATGTAGATTTAGCTGACACTTCACAGGCTATGGCAAGATTTACCTGAATGGCTCAGTCAGCACCATTTCCACCTTTCCCTGCCCAGGCTCCAAATCCGAAAACATTTTTGAAATATTAACTCCCTTTTGCAAAAGGGAAACCAGAGGATTAAAGAGGTACTAGGACCCGCCTTGGAGCAAACAGCATGCCAGGGATGGAGTTAGGTTTGGGACCGAGCCCAATCATACCCCTATTTGACCCATTCCCACCCAGGAAGCTGAAGATAAAAGGTCTGGGAAAACACACAAAGAACAAAGGGCAGTTTTGCTTCGCCCAGGCATTCCATTCGGTGCTAGTTCGTTTTCACCCCCTCAGCCTGCTCCTCTCTGGGCAGAAGCCTGGAATGAAGGGAGGGACACGAGGAAGCCAGCATAGGGGACGGAGGGGACACAATGGTCCCTGCCTGTCTAAAACCCCCAAGACTAACCTGATACTCTCGGCCCCCTCTGCATCAACACTAACAGCTCCGAACTCCCAGGATCTTTCCCACACTCGCCAAGTGAACATTCTTGAAGGTTCCTCTTTGTCACTGCAACCACCTGCAAACCCAAATGAATCTAGAATTTTTTTTTGTTGTTTGTTTAATTTCTAATCTCTTGTTTATGAGGTGTGGGGTTTATAAGGGACTGAATCAAATGAATGTAACAAAAAGAAAAAAAAAATGCCTTTTCTCAGGGCCAGTGAGTTGCAAATAATTTTTAAAGAAAAGCCTATAATTGCATCATCTCAATAAATTTTTTATTTAAAAAAAAAAAAAGGTCCCAAGTGTCTTGTTTTAATAAGATGAAATGGAGTCAGAGAGGCAAGGTGCTCCGATGAGGTAAATCCTGTCTCCGCTCGATTATGGGATGAAGTGCGTGGTTTTTCACTGGCAGAAAGCCTCTGTCACAGAGCCGACTGCAGGCGATCTTCAGACAGGCAGCCCAGAAAGGTCACAGCAGACCGTTTAGAGCTGAGCAGCTGCCACAGGTGCAGAAATTTGCCAGAAGGAACCTCGATCCGAGATGCTCGGGTCCTGTGCCGTGCCAAAGACTGACCAGTTCACCGATGACCCAGGCAATTCCCAGAGTTAAAGCGCCTCAGGTCTCTTCACAATGTAACGGCGCCCTGATCCTACTGAAGTCATGGAGTGAGCCTACAGCTGATGAGGGCGTACATGTGAGTTGAGCTCCTGCGCAGACACTGGACCATAGTCATCGTTCAGCTCAGGGCTGGCTCCATGCGCAGAATGTCTCAGCAACACTGACCCATGGAGCCACCTGCCCACTAATAGACACTTAGGATTGCAGCAGCCAACGAGCAGAACTACGTGTGCCATGGTGGTGGGTAGAAACTAAGAAAAGAATGAAAAATTAAGCAAGTGTGGTAAAGACCTGGGGAAGGGGAGGGATGCTGGGCAGAAGGTTCATTGCGGGAAATAGAGGGACATCTGTAATACTTTCAACAATAAAGATAATTTTTTTAAAAAGAAAATGAAGCAAATTATACTTTGTTAGTAAGTTGATGTAGGTGTGGGAAGCAGAAGTTTAACATCAATGGTCTCAGAGAATGTTGTTAGGTTATTTCGGTATATAAGTTGTCCCAGGTACTCGACACCCTTGACCTTGAACTGATGGCTGGAATTTGCCCTATCTGCTGTATTGTCAAAGCACGGC